GTGTGAAGTTTGGGGCAGATTGGACACTGCATGCCTGAGTTACAGTAACTTCCTCTTTCTCTGCATTAATAGCATGCTTTAGCACTTAGCTAAGTGTTGCTAGCATGTTTTAGTATGTTTCTAGCAAATTGCCAGCCTATGAAACAGTTGCTGACGATTTTTAATGTTCCTAGGAGTCCATAACAGTGCTTAGCATGTCACTTCCTGTTGCCAGCAGGTGGCGCTATGACTATAACCGAAAACGGGCATGTAGATGTGTTCAGGACAGGACTCTTATCAAACTTGTTAAATTTGGGGCAGATTGGACACTGCATGTCTGAGTTACAGAAACTTCTTGTTTCACTGCATTAATAGCATGCTTTAGCACTTAGCTAAGTGTTGCTAGCATGTTTTAGTATGTTTCTAGCAAGTTGCCAGCCTATGAAACAGTTGCTGACGGATTTTTAATATGTTCCTAGGATTCCATAACAGTGTTAAGCATGTCACTTCCTGCTGCCAGAAGGTGGCGCTATGAGAATAACTGAATTTGGGTTTAAAACAATAATGAGATAAGAAGGGCGGTGTAAGACAATAGACAGGAGAGCACATGGCACACAAACACACAACAAGCCATGTGCTCAAACAAACACACAGTGACATCTAGGGGCTGTTTCATAAAAGACGCTATGAAAAGCGGGGATTCAAGTCCAAAACCTGACTTGAAATAACCTAACAAATCAATCGGGACTAAAGCGGTTTCATAAACGACCATTTAAATTCACGCAATCTCACTAATTCAATCCAGGTTCAATGAGTCAGGATAATTTGATGTGCACGCTTATTCTTAAGCAGCATCAAATTGATCCACCATGGCAAACGGCGCATATTTGTGCTGATTAACGCATTTGAGACATTGTGTTTTCCTCCGTGCATGATTGACACATCACAGGTATATTTTTCATCTGTAAATGTTAGAAAGTCATGCAAATATATCCATTTTGCTGTCAGGAGTGGGTGAGGTTTACGTAAGTGAACGAGAGCTGCTGCGCACATGTGTGCTACACAGATGGAGCAGAATAGAATAATAGCGCAATAATTCTGAATAAAATATACATTCTGCTAAAATATATGTTGTTGGACATTAAATATGACACATGTAGAATTTTAATCCTACATATAAGTGTATTTTTTTATCATAGCAGTAACTGTAAATCAAATGTAAGCTGGCTAATACAGCCCTACTATCTCAAATGAGTTAAATGTGTGTTCCTCTTATCAGTTCAAATGTAGTCTAATTTCTATTATTTATTTTCATTTTTAATTCAGTGGTTTTAACTTTTAATTCAGTGTTTTTAATGCTTTAATGCTTTAAAGAGCAATTTTAGATTGTAATGTTTTAATGTTCTACTAATAACCATAAAAGGTACAGCTGTCATAAAACCAGAGAGAAAGGCTGCACGGCTAGAAACTGCAGATCAACTAATGTGCAAGTAGCAACTATGTTAAAATGTTTTCATATATCTTTAAAAAAAAAAAAAAGGGTCATTACATTTTGGGCACAATACATGAAATACAGCTGGTTGTAGCCTATTTTTTTACTTATTTGATTATTTAAGTTGCATTCTCTGTATGCTTTTATTTTTGGACTAATAATAAAGTCAACTAATTGTATGTGAGAGAGACAGTGGTAATATCAATGTGTTCCTATTGGTCAGTGTTAGAGGAGCTCAGCTTAGCCTGACAGTTAGCCTGCTCCGGACCAGATTAGTTTCCCAGCATAAGTTGCCAGAGTGACTGATCTTAAGCTATGGTAAATTTGCTTTATGAAACCAAATCAAGTGAAAATAAGTCAGACTAACTGAAATAAGCCTGGCTTATTTGGTCAACTTGTTTTATGAAACAGCCCCCTGGTAGCCAACTAGGGCACACCAGCAGAACTGTGACAGGTTGGTGCCATGACTCAGAACACCCCCCTCCCAGTCCCACCACATCTCCCAAGCAGTTTCATTATTTTTGTTACTATGTGTCTCTTGTAAAATGCTTTAAACTTTAAACATTATTTTAATAATGACCATTTACTTCTGTCCCTAGCCCCATTTACATGTAAGGATCCTATAAAAATATCCACAGTAAACAAGAGAAATGATAGAGAAGAGAAAATAAAAGAAGAAAGAGGGGAAAAAAGCCAGATCCTCATGTGCACCTATAGAGTTCAGGTCCGTCCTTATTAGGCAACTGGTGTTTTTTCTTACACAAATGCATCACTTCGCTTCAAAAACCCTTTATAATGACTATGAATGTGTCGGTTAAAAAAATTAGCAATGAGATATTTTAATTATTTAAGTATAAACTATAGTGTTTTCTGAGTCAGTGTCCATCGCAAAGATACAGTTTACACAACGCTTACTCGCCATCTCTAAAAGTTGATATCAGCAGCTTTGTGTATAGGTTTTAAGAGGAAACTCTTATCTAAGAACTTTTACTGCTATTTAGGAGAACTCTTAGTGCTAAGATAAAATGTTTTGTGCACTAACTTGAGAAAACTATTGGCCTTTAGAGCTGTTTTACAGCAGAACTCGAACGGTCACAAACTGTCATAGCTGAGTTTCCATAATTGCCTCTGCTATTTTTTTTTGTTTATCTCTGTGAAGGTGCTTTGACACAATCTGTATTGTATAAATCACTACAAAAATAAAGGTGACTTGACTTAACTTGACAGGAAGTCTGAGCCAATTTTGTCCTAATATCGCTGCTTTATATGGCCTACCAAAAATGCTGAGATCAATAAATGAACAGTAGACAACTGATTGCACTGATGCATACTAGGGAAAAATAGAAGAGTGGTGGTGGAAGCACGAGGGAGGTGGAGAACAGCAGGACAGAGTGTCGATTATGAGTCACATCAAGTGATCAATGATTTCATTAATAAGACGGATCATATGGCTGTCACCACACTGTCATTGGTGTGAGAAATTATCCCATAGCACATTTAGCAAACCTAAATTCCCTTCCACTTGGGAATACCGGAATTACCCCCATACACACATATCCACACATCCATTCAATAATTCCCCGTTAGTGTAACAGCCCTGCACCAAACAGAGAAAAAAAAAGGGGGCGGGGGGACAGGTCAGACAGGACAAAAAAATGAAAAGAACGTCAGAATAAACAGCTCAGAGAGGGAGAGAGACAGGAAGAGGAAAGGAGAAAATCCATTTTGAGGCCCCATTTTCAATTAGGCTCCACAAGCTGTTATCACAGGTGTCGCAGAATAGGGCTGAGTAAGGGAGAGTGGCTGCTATCCGCCTGCTGAAATGAACACTTATCTGCACGCCACAAAGATGGGCCAGGACAGACTATCTGTAAATTACTTTCCGGCCATGCTGCTAACAGGAACTTTATTTCTGTCAGATGACATTCGCTTCTATTTGCTGCTGATCATTTAAATGGCCGCTTAAAAGAGGGATGTCACCTCTGCCTCTCTCTTTCTGTTCGCTCGGGCTCTCTTTTCATCCATTTGATAGGCCCATCTTTTTTTCCGGAGGTATAAAGGCTTATCACAATCTCAAAATACACCTGAATTAATTTTTGGTATTAAAAAAACTTTAAGCTACAGTGAATCAGCAAAAACAAACAAATTAAAAAATATTATTTAGTTCAGAAAGTTAAACCATGCACCTTAGCCTTTTGTCACCAAGGTGCAAGATCCAGTTTCCAATGTAGATCTGTTCTGCTGGTTTTAACTAAAGAAATGACAGTTCTTTTCGAGGAAAATCAACTGCAATTATACTATATACAAGCTATAATTTAACTAAAACCCCTTAACCCCTCAAATAATTCACAGATTAATTTAGCCCCTGAACCTGTGTGACATTTTACATCGTTTTATAGTGATATATAAAATTATTTATTTCAATGTATTTATAAAATTTTAATTATTAGTAGCCTCAAGTTTGACAAGTTTCAAAGAGGCTTCCCCAACACGGTTTACACTGAACTCTTCTCAAATTATTTAAAACGTGACAAACTTGAAGCCTGACAAACTTCCAAAGTTTTCCCTCTTTTTTTCCTCTATTTGTCCTTGCTTCTTCACTTCCCTCCCTCCGTTCTTCATGCTTCCTTCATTCTTGTTCATTTCATCACTCTGGCATCCATGAAAAAGTATGACAAACCAACAATACCAAAACGATTGTGCACTCTCATTCTCCATGTCCCTCTGTCCTCTCTCTCACTCTGAACAGCAGGTGCCTTTTTGCCCCTTTCTCCTTTTTAATTAACAAATTATTCCATGACGACCAGGTTCATTCAGTTGAAGCACACGAACATCTCTCTCTCTTTCTCTTTCTCTTTCTCTCTCTCCCTCTCACGGTCCAGGCAGCAACAATAGAATCAGAGGACTTTGTTGTCCACCTGCCTAGCAAATGATGTGAGTTGCAGAGGAGGGAAGCCCCCCTTCCTTTGCTCCTTCCAAAGAGGACCAATCAGGCCATTGTGGTGGCACAGTCGGTTCCTTTGAGCTGTCAGGCCAGGGGAGCCGGTCCACAGATGAATGCTTTGCAGCCCTGCGCCAGTCTTTAGCTAACCATGTGGGAATGCTCCCTACCAAGCATGCACAATTACAGACTCCAGCTAAACTTTACATAAACTTTTACTCCGTGTGGTTAGAGAAAGTGGAAAGGAATAAAAGTATTAAAGGGGTCATATGATGCTGCTAAAAATAACATTATTTTGCATGACGACCCCAGGCTGGACTCCTCTTCGTCCACGGTGAAAGCCGATCCAGCGATCGACAGCGCGAAGTTGAAGTATTTCCTCAGCGACCAGCACGGATCAGCTCCAGGCATGACGAAGCGATATCGTCCTCTTTTGAAAGGCCAAAGAAAGTAGTTTCGCTTTCACAACGAAGCACACAGCGCCTTCACGACATGGCGGCGGCGGCAACAATACTACAGAGAGAATAAAAGTTACGCCTTCTTTCTTTGCGTGAACATTTGGGCGGCGTTATGCAAATCTTCTCAGATAGTGACGTAGGTATGTGGGGGGATGATAGAACGAGCCGTTTTAGGTAGGTGTGGCTGACTCTTAACTTTTATAAAGAATGTCTCTTTGGATTTGAGACTTTAGTCTTTGCAACTTTACAGATCTTCTTTGTGCACCAAGAGCTTGTAACACTCCAAAGAGAAAGGAAAAATTTAAATTGCATCATATGACCCCTTTAAGGTAAAGGAGAAGGAAATGGGAAAAGAGAAATGTTCATGCATTGCATATTCTTGTACCCCAATAGGTAAAGCATAACTAACAGCCCAAAGTCATGGGGTTGATTACACCCCATACTTGAATGTCCCTTTCACTGCTGCACATGCTGACATGTTTATTTATAAGAATAATCTAATAAAAATATTTTTTTTAAAATACCATTATGCAAATACTTAAAAAAAATTATATTTAATCATTTATAGATAAAAATTACAAAGAATAAACCATTGTTACATATAATATAATTATTATTTATAAATAAACACATAATAATAACGATAATAATAATTCTTATGCATAATCAAATAATAGTAATAATTATTTTATTATACAGTATTTCCTTTGTTGACTCTAAATTAATCTGATGTATTCAACGTGTAAATATGTTAATAATTATTATATAAATTATTAGTGGAAAAGGATGATATATGATTAGTTACGACGTATATATATATTTACATCCTTAAAAAAATTCTAAACTACAAATCTTTCATTAATTTGAAATAATCCAGTGATCTTTTCCCATTTGAAATCAAACTTGGATTACTTTACTCCCTACAAGCTACTCTTTCTCAAAACCATTCAAGATTGCATTTCATTCTTTTTTTAAACTCTAACTCCACATTCTCACTGTATTATTTGGGGTTTCCCCTTCTGAAGATCCCCCAGACACGCCTAGACTGATCTTGGATCAGTTTCAGCATTTAGCCGATCCAGGGTCTGTCGGGACAAAGAGGTGGGACAATTGGCCGCTGCCACTGTTGGGCCTTTCACAATTGCCTTTTGTTAGTCTTGAGGGGGCGGCCCGGGCAACATGGGTTAAAGTTGACTGGGGTTTAGGTTACATCAGATAAGAGGTTATGAGTATTGGAAGACCAAGAGAATGCAGGGTTATTATAACCACACCAGGAAAGTGTAAGCTATCTAATGGCTGTGGTAAGACCCTTCGGGGGGCAGGCCTAGGGTCTGTTGTGATAGATGCTTGTGGTCAGGACTGCTTTTAATCAGTGGTGGAAAGAGTACTGAAAAAATATACTCAAGTAAAAGTACCATTACCTTCCAAAAAATGTAGTGTGAGTAGAGTAAAAGTACTTGTCCAAAAAACTACTTGAGTAAGAGTAAAAGAGTAGCCTATATAAAAGTACTCATGAGTATTGAGTAGTGAGTACTGAGCTGTGGATTCTACCCCCTCATAATAAACGCTGTACACCGCAATTGATACATTTTAAAAACGTTGTACATTCTGTAATTCACATTATCTTATTTGTCATAAAGAATGAAGAATATCTATCATTCAGTTTTAATTTTGACTGCCAACTCTTTAAAATACATCAAAACACTGTGGATTCTACCCCCTCATAATAAACGCTGTACACCGCAATTGATACATTTTAAAAACGTTGTACATTCTGTAATTCACATTATCTTATTTGTCATAAAGAATGAAGAATATCTATCATTCAGTTTTAATTTTGACTGCCAACTCTTTAAAATACATCAAAACA